TCCAATAAGGAGTTTGCAGTGGAGAATACCAGCCTCATGGGGTTTCACCTTCCTAAGTTTCTTCCCTACTTCCCATTCAGAAAACTACCCCTTTCCCCCAAACAGGGAAAAGCCGCTGACATCCCCGTGCGGAGGAAGTGTTAGGAGGGAAGTAAGACGGCGTTAAAACTTACTCACCCAGAATTCATCTGGAAGTTGGGAATTGTTTTTGAGCATTTCGGAACAGGGACTTGCTGCTTCTGTTTGAATATCTGAAGGGGATGGAAAGGATTTCCAGCGATTTGCTGTCTCTCCATTTGTTCCCTCGTGTCCCTGTGAAACAGGACTTCCCTTTATACTGATTTGCCTCTGAAATGGTCACAGAAGCCATTCGTCTTCACCGCAAGGCTGTGGAACTCACAGACCAGGCTTCCTCCTTCCGCCTGTCCTACTTGGAGTTTGTACATCAGGCATGGCAATGACAGGGCACCTCGCATGGAGGGAGCCCAGGCTCCCCACAGCACAGCTTTGAGCGCCAAGGAAAGGAGCAACCCCTCGGTCATTTGCGACTTAGAATGGATGGAGAGGAGAGAGACCGTGCGGTAGAAGAGCTGGTCGGTCTGGTGTTTGCAGTGGCATCTCTGTTGGTAAAGGGACAGCAACTCTTTGTTAATAAATACAGTTTGAATCTTTGCATGCCACTGCCCACAATCCCACACACAGGGTCACTCTAACATCTGATAAATGTGTGTTTTGTCTACATTCTGCACCGGGCAGCTACAAGTCAATCAACTTCATGCTCCTATTCACAGTTTGGTTTGTCTAATTTTTATGCTTCTTGTAATCTGCGCAAAGTTTAAGCTGGTTACTTTTAAATGCAACCTAAAAAGCTGAAACACATGCTTGCAGGACCATAACTACTTCAACTTTATGGCCTGAGATAAAAAGTCCTCTCACGCTAAGCCTCTCCTAGGAGGTTGTTAAAATTAAGGGCAGTGTATTAAAAATCTGTTACATCCTTTACTAGTGAGTCATAACATGTTCACTTGTGGGAAAATGAGCTTGTCAGTCTAGTAGTATTTGAATTGCTGCCTTTCCAGTCTTTGAGAGGTGTCTGCTCTTTGTTTCCAGGTGGTTGTCATGACGGAGGCTATTCACTGCAGGAAAAACAATAATTTAACACATACTGTAACAGTGCAGTAGCCCAGAGTACGATGATAGTAGCTGGAGAGGACAGAAATCTTTTAAAACAGAACAAATTTACTGTCTGCATAAATTAGACAAAAACATAATTTGGGGAAGCAGACAGTGCTATTAAATGTTCTTTCTTGGTTTTATGTTTTCTAGGCAAAAGAAGTGGAAGCAGAGGAGATGAAGCAACCTGGAATAAGTAACTCATGGAGCAATGTAGAATAAAGAGGGCAGGAGTAAATTATCTGCTTGAAAGACTCAGCAGTTTTCCCCAACAGAATCAACTAATCCCTAGGCTCCTAACATACATACACATGCACGCCTTGCACAATTGGTTTTTGGACATACATATACACTTTCGTAAGCATGAATATTATATTTAAGATACTTTCTACAAACATTCTTGCCTTCTATTTGCTCCATGTCATTTCCATCTCAGCAAAGGTAATTGTTGAGGATGCTAAGGCAATTTATAGGCACCTGTGGGCTCATTAATCTTATGTGCTTATCCTAGAGATGTCTCTTCTAGGTATGCTATTTTAGGCAGTATCTATCATCCATCACTGTACAGTGTATCTATGGTAAAAAAAGAACTACTGTACCAAATCTGATCTCTGACAAACCAGACACAGGCCAGCCCTGTAGTGACGGCAGGTGCTAGATGGTTTATTATAGAAGGCAGAATGGAGACTTGTGCAGTGTGTGAAAAAATTGACTCTTCCTCAAGCTTCTTCCCTTCTATGGATTCTTCAACTTCTTCCAGAAAAGAAAAAAATACTAAAAATTTGTGTAATATTTAGGCTTTCAGGAAAAAGTCAATCATCCATATCAAGGTCCCAGTGATGGGTACTAGACTAGAAAGAATTTCAGAGCGTTTTGAGTTAGTGAAGCATTTCAGAATATTAATAATGAACAACAGTTGAAAACAATGAATGTGCTTGGAGGAGGAATATTTCCATTTTGGGTAACCAATTTTAGGCCTCCTACTTAGCCAGCCAGTCTCCCATGGACCCTTCTACAGCCCACAGAGGAAGACAAGTTGCCTCAGAAGACCGAGGATGACTCTGCATTAGTAGCTCAGCTCAGGAATGCAGTTTAGCTTATGCCCACCTACTCTCCCCTAATTCAAATTGTGTGGTCTCTGCACGTGAACGAGATCTGTCGGAAACGTACCCCAGCCACTATCGTGCATTCAGTTTACAAAGACCAGACAAGAGCGAAACTGAAGTAAAACCCTGAAATGCACAAAATGTGGGCACTGGGTCCTCAGCACCAACACTTTCACCCCACAAACCTATTCCTGCTGAGTTGTGCTACTTAGTAACGCAGAGGTAAATAACTACGTTAGGTACTGAATCACCTTTAGGGTGTTCAGCTCCCAAGTCTCTGCCTGCTTCAGGAGGACCTTCGGGTCAGCCGAGCCTAGCCACCTCACTCAGGCTTCTCAACGTTAACACTGCGAGTGGAGAGTGGAAATACTCCTCTCTGCTCCCATCCCTGTGCGTGGTTACAAATGAGACTCCCACACAACTGAGGAGTCCTTCCTCTTTTAATTAAATTGATGAGTTGACCATGGTGAGTGGCTACACCGAATCTTTGAACTTATGAATTCATGATATAAGCAGTCTCTCTGCTTGACCATTAATTTAAATACTCATGCAAAATCTAGGATGACTTGATGCTCTTCTCTTTCATGCAGGTTTATAATGACCTTAAAAGCATTAACTCAATGTGAGGTCACAGAATTATTTTAGCTGCGGATCAGCTGCTTAATAAGAGTTTTCTCAGAGTCATGTAATCATGCAGGCTGCAAGACTCAAGTAATTCTTTCATTTTCTGCCTACATGTTAATGGGTTTAACCACTCCCACGCACAAAAAGGAGAAATGAGTTAACGGGAGATGTTCGGCACTCGGGTTTACAGTGTCCAAAACATACAGAGAAGCACGTATCTGCAAAATTAACCAGCTATTGCTGTAACTACTTAAGAAATCAAACGCTGTTTGAAAGTCAAACATCAATATAGTCACCTCTTATATAGTACAAGCAGGATCTCACAGTGTTTTACCATTATAATGGCTTGTCTCTGACTATATCTTAAGTCAATTAAATAAGTTTATAGGCTGCAGTAGGCAGAAGATAATAGATTTATTTTTAATCATAATTTTTAATGGATAAAAATTTAGTCTGATTATAATGTGAACCTTCTCCTGATGAAACATTAAATGTTCCATAAGCAAAATATTTGATTTTGACACTACTGTGATACTGCCTGTCTTTTTTAGTGTCAGAAATATTTATGATTTTAAATGGGACAATGCATGGGTGAAACGTTTTAAAAAATTGCAAAACTAACATAGTATGTTCCTACCTAATAATAAACAATTGTTGAATGATGTTTATTAAAATTGGCTCTCAAGTGACAGTTAATAAATGCATAGTTCTATTATGCATGCTAAATTCAGCATTCCGAAAACTTAAAAGCAGATAGATCAAAACAACGGAGATAAAAAAGTCACAAAGACAAAATACAGCAACACCAGTAAATGACAGGGAAATAACTCAGACTTAAAAATGACTTATTATTTAGTAAGATGTAACAACAATTTATAGAACTAAATTAGAGGCAGATCAGAGTCTTTCTGATGTTTTAGATATACAACTTCTCTAGTGCATATAGTTTGATCATACAGCAGAGGAATTCATGTTACAAAGTCCCCTTCAAAAAGGCAAAAACCCCAGTTTCTCTCTGTTTCTGCTTCCAGGTTACACTTAGCTATGGATGGTGAATGAAGGGGGAAAAAAAAGGGTACAATAAAATTCAATTATTAAATTATTTCAATTAAAGCCCCTAAACATCTTTTCGGTATTTGGAGAAGTTAGACTGTCTATATGTGCTGTGTTTCTCTATGTTTCATGTATGCCCAGACCACATCTGCACAGGACCACACAAACACTGGATTTAATGGGCTTTGTGTCCTTTACTGTAATCACTCCGTTGGCTCTCTGATGTTGCATAGGTTTGGCATGATGATGGAAAGACTTGCTTCGACCATGTATTTTCACCTCTGTTTCTAAAAGGTGAAGGGCAAAACTTTTAATCAAGGAGCAGTTTATCTTTAATTAGGAAAAATATAATTAGGCATTATCACCAAATTGCTATTACTGATGGAGAAAGTCATATTTGCACAAGTAGTGACCCATGCTGTATTATCACCCTGCTGTTTACTGCATAATGAATCTGGATTTGTGTTTGGCAGCTAGCCAGCAAAAATTAAAAGGTAATCAACATGCTTCTCTGCAGTCCGGTCATCAAAGTCACTGGCTTCACAGATGAGTAAATAACAAAGTCAAGTTGTGATGTCCTAACAGAAACCTTTCTTTAGGAATATCTATATTCACCTCCTCTGTCAAGACATCAGATGATACTTGAAATAACCATATACAAAAAGCTTTGCAAAATAGATTTGAAGAACTGTGCTATACATCTGGTGTTGAGTTAAAAAACAGTTTAATGTCTCAAGGCACCACCACGGTAGAATTTTATACCTGCAAGTAATCATCTAATACACTATTATACAGTTAAGGTAATGTATTAATAAATAGCTTGTGCAATTTTGGGAAGCAATCTATAAAGGAATGTTAGATATACAGTAGGCACGTACTATAATACAAATAAAAACCAAAATTCCTAGAAAAAGCATGCTGAGCACCTTTTGGTATAGGTTGAGTTTCTTATTCTAAACACTATGTAAATCTTAACTTACAAAAGGTAAAACTGAAATCTTATAGTAACTGCTTATTTGAACTGATTTTCCTGGGTATTTGCCTCTAGGTCACAGGAGTACTCTTAGGGACAGAGGCCTCTGGCACTGGCTGTAAAGGGCTATCTTGTTCACTCAGTTGTGCATTCAAGTTTTCAGAAGTTAGGAGAGAAGAATTAAAAACTATTTCGCTTAAGTCTGATTTTATGGATACGAGATGTGGTTCTTGGAAACTTAATGGTTCTTCTACTAACACCTGTGTATTTTCTCGGGTCATTCCCATATCTGACGGTGACTTGCGTTTCATTCTTGTGTATGATTTGTCTAAATTCTCCATGCCTTGGTCAGTTTTCTGAAATCGCCCAAAGAACCAGATGAAGAAACCAAACAAAGCAAAAGCCAGCAAACTGGGAATAAAAGCCAGGCATTTGACATCAAGGCTAGAGCCTGTGAATCTGCTGTGCAAGAACATGTCTCCTTCGGCATAGGTCCGGTTGGTCAATGGGTTAGTGTTATTGGACCTCCATTCCCAAGATAACTTAGTTCTATTAAGGTCTTTCAAGCTTTCTGAGTCCTTCACCGTGTAGATCTTCTGTCCAGGACCGATATATTGGCCATATTCATGAGGTTTGTAAAATATTTGGTTCTTCCACATATTCAGATCCAAGATTAAAACAAGGAAGATAATTCCATAGTTAAACCATTTGCCTGTTCAGAAAAAGAAAGTTCTGTCATCTGATGTATCCCTTTTAGAAGCAATACAAATGCAGTCATATGTAAAAGGTATTCACAGAAAAAAAAAAAATCCTTTTTTAGTTAATCTGTAAAGCAAAGTTGTAATAAAACTTCCACCATAGTCAGATTTGTGCTGAATATCCCTTAATATTTCACAATTAGGTCTGGGCACACAATAAAATAATGTTGTAACACAAGCACAGCAGTATACCCATAGAATTCACACTGCAGTTTGTAGGTGACTAAGCCACCTACGGAGTAAGACTTGAGACGGCAGCCTGCGGCTGGTGAAGGAGTTGACTAAGAAGCTAGCAGAGAACACTAAAAATGCTGAACAGAGGTAGCCAGGTGCTTGATCTCAGGCTTCATGTACCATCTGTCCTACGCTGCGGATTCACAATTGTGAATCTCTTCTAAGATGGATTTGTCTAAAAAAGGCTCCACCCCTCTTAATGTTAAGCACTTGAGTGCTCACCTGATATAATAGACATCTGCGTTTCAATTATTCCTGTTTCATAAAAAGCATGAACTTGAAACTGTCATTCAGCTCCTAGACAGAGTTAGGCACAGCCCTAAGCGCCACTGTTGGGATCGTTGGGTCAGTGTGGACTCCAAAGGGTGCTTACACAACAGCTTAGATGCAGACTCCCCAGTTAACTAAGATGAATCACAACCTGTATGTCTAAGTGGCAGCGAGTTGCCCGAGACCTGCCTCTGCTCTATAGCAGACCTTCTTAAATTTCTCATGTCTAGACCATTTTTCCATCCTCTGCATCACTGTCATGCTCGATGGGCTCTATGATTTTTCCTTTTCTTTTGAAAACTGTTGTCACCAGAACCAAACACGGTATATGAGTAACAGTGTCAGTACAACCATATATGAACACAAGGACATCTTCCTACTCTTACTTAGTATTCTCTGTAGCCAAGGGCTGCGTTAATCTCCTTAGACACAAAATGACTGGGAGTTAGTGCTGTCTTGGTTACTTACAGAAAGTATTTGCCTCTTTCTAGAACAGTGTCCTCTGCTGTCTATCCCTCTTCCAAGACATGTACTTTACTGCTGTACTAGCAGGCGTGATCGCCAAGTAAGCCCAGTTCAGCAATCAATCCTCCTAGATCAGTGATAAATCTGTCGAAGCTGACTGAGCCAAGAGGCCTGACAGTCTCCACTCACAAGCATCTCTTTGATGATAATTCCCCATGACAAGTAATTTTTGAGACTTACTATACTGACCAACCTTTAACATTATACATGTGTATAATCTATGTATATGAAATTATTGTCTTTTGCAACTTAATTTTAGCATAATGCTTTTTGTAGCAAACTTTGAGTCATATATCAAGCTGATATAGCAAATAAGCTTGGTAAATTAGGTGTCACTCCTGACCTCCTACCTTGCGCATAAACAAGCTCAAGCTTATAGTTTTGCAAAGGCTCAGAATAAATATATTGTGAAGCTATAGATATTAATTTTCTTTAAAAATATATTTATCATTTCTTTCACAGTGCTTCAACTTCCATTCCAGATGAAAAGTGGTAAGGTAAAATGGAGCCCCACACTATGAAGTCATTTAATTTGTCCCTTAACCAATTTCTGCAGGATCAGCACCGCTATTGCTCTAGGGTTGGCTCTACTCCAGTGAGGTCTGTGTGGCCAAGAATAGCGGCATCTACCTGGCACCATTTTGCCCTTCTTGGCGCAGGTGGATGTTTCATAGACACAATCTGAAATGGAAAGATGTAGCAAAATCAGTTCTCGAGACTGGAAGGCTAGTCAATCATTTCAGCAAACTGCAAAGAATTATACCCTGACTCTTCAATGCAGTTACAATGAAGAAAAGGAGGTGGTAAAATAGGCTGTATCATTCAGCTATGCACTGCCTAAAAACCAGACCTGTTAATAACCGGCTTTCACAGCACTGATGTCCTTACATGCTACGCATGACATTTGGAGAGTCAGGAATCCGGTTTGGTGTATTTGGAAACACGGTGCAACATTGAAATTTGGTGCAATAAAGATCCCCAAAAAGAAAAACTGGAGGTACGTACCCAGCCAAGGGCACGCACTGACTGTCCTTGTGAGGCTGTGATGTAAAATGTGAAACCCTTTTCTAGACATTGTAGCCTACAGCCACTATTTGGGGATGAAAACTTGATCCCTGTTTTTGAGAAAGCATGGCTGTTGAGGATTGTATCCTCATGGCCAGAAGGCAAACCTTGACCCTAGAACAATCTCCACTTATGGCAGTTTGGACCCGCATTGTGGGACCATCCTCTGAACCCCAGCCTATACACGACCGTGCTTAGAAACACCCTCCCCTCCCTGCTGAAGTTGAACGACTGTGCACTGCACGCGAATGCCAGGGGCCTTCTCATGGTGAATGAGGTACGGAGTTTTCTTTTTCCTTTTTCCAGAAAGGCACCTGTTTGCGCTAGCTGAATAAGATGTTTGGGCAGTGGTCATTTTTAAAGAGGCTGATAAGGTCTATGAGAGGTTCAGCAACCAGTCCACAATCCCACATGCAACTGATTTGAAGCAATTGAGGCAGATCCCGCAGGTCCAAATATCCCAAACCAGCTGCTGATTCTGGATCATCTTTATTTTTGTACGTCCACTCTGTAACAGAACAGTCATGCCCTAAAAAAGAGATCTTGTGTAGAAGCCAGTCCTCAGCATCCCTCCTGAGGTCAAGAGGAAATGTGAAAATTCCACTTATTAAGGCTAGACTCAAGTGGCCTCATGCTGTGCAACCGCAGCCAGAGGCCAGTGTAGGAAATGTTGACTTCAGACTCTTATCTCAATTGCAACTGTGTCTAAAAACATTCAGACACCTCTGTAAAACATTCAGGTATCTTCAAAACGTTCTTCATATCTTCTGTCACGTTAGTGTTATTAGCTAGATACACGCACACAGACCACTCACAGCTGAACTAAGCCGCAAATCCTCTGAGGTTTTTTTCACATCCGTGTGCACGGACAGCTTTGTTTTTACCTCTAACCTTTCTATTTTTGCCCACGGGCTCCCTCAGGCTTCCCTGTGTAGGCGATGCTTGGCCTGAATCTAGACACACTTCTGGTCTAACTCCACAAGCCAGCCATGCAAGGCACTCGCCAGCCGTGAAGGTGAGGGTTTCTCCTTTGGGTGGAAAGGCACTCTGGCTAGACCAGCACTCCGAAACACCTTTAGAAACAGCCACAAAAATCTCCCATCTGTTTTGATACCCAAACTTTAACATTTCCTATTTGAAACTGATCCGCACACTTTACAGCAGATGCTCTTGGATCTCCAGTGCTGCTATTAAAGGGTATGAGTCAGGCCCCTCGTGCCTTTTAACCATGAAAGAATCTGAAGTAACAAAATTTACTTTTAAGTTTTACAAATTTCCCTGGATATTACAGAAACTAGGATAGACCATGTATTTTCATAAACAGCAGCCCAAGAAGGAAAACATACACTTTGCAACGAACCATCTATCAAGGGAAATCCAGATGAGTTAAGCAGATGCAGGAATTCAAGCTATTTTTGATGTTCACAGATAAAAGCAGCTATCAAAACAGGATAAAAATATTTAATATTGAGTAGATGCTTGCTAGGAGCTCCTAGATGCAAAGAAATTTGAGCAACACGAGGTACTCAGTTACCAGTAAAAATAAGATATGCTTTTGATAGTAAATTTAAAATTACACTGAAGCATATCAGCTACAGGCTGCAGATGTTAATTCAATATTACTGCCAACTTACAATATTCAGAAATCACAAGTCAGGCCTAAGAAAGCATGTTATTAGTTTAAAGTAGCAAGACGGGTTAAAAATAATACACATAGTACTGCTTTATTTATCTGCTTTTTTGCTTTTTTAGACATGGAGTTATGCAGAAGCAGCATTTCATTTTTTTTCTCTGCAATCATGAGCTTTATTTTATGAAAGCTGAAATTCTCATGTAGTCACTGAATTCAGGAGCTAAGACTTTAAGACAAAATAGAAAAAAAAAAAAAAGAAAAGCAACTGTCTTAAGACTTGTGATAAAATCAGGAGAGTTGGCAACACAGAGCGTGTAACTGTGAAATCCTTCATCTGTACAGAACTTGCCTGAAGCCATTCAGCACACACCAACAGAAAGGTGGTTTAAAGTCCTTTACTTCTCTGAATGTCCCTTTACTTAGAGCTGCTTCTTTGTGGGACCATTGCTCGTTAGAGCAACCCAGCACTGAAGAAGGCTGCTCAGGGGAATCCTAGGGCTGCTCTTATTTATATCAATCAACAGTGACCAAAACAGACTGTAAAAGAACTTATGAAGAATAAAATTTGCCAGGAAAAAGATGGTAAATGTTATATCAGCCGCGCTTTCTTTCTCCTTGCCCTTTGGGAGAAAAGGGTTTCCAGTTTCTACAAAGCAGGGCACAGGTCATAGATTTACAGTCTGACTTTATCCCTATAGTAAGTACTAAAATAAATGGTATTCAGGCCTTAGTCTTCTTTTCCTGTTTGTTACTAAAAAGAAATCCTATGGTTAAATGTAACACTCTGGATCCCATGTAATAAACAGGGCCTAAATACAGCAGGCTTCCTGCCATTATCAGTGTCTTACCCCCATGTCATCTGCTCCAGCTGCAGTCATCTGCATCACTCTCTACCCTCATTTTAGATTGGATTACGTTCATCTTGTTATATATACATATTGAACCAGTTCTTTCTTTCTTTTATTAGCTCCTTGATTTGAGTAGAAAATTACAAGTATTTACACATCCACACAATAACTAGAGCTTGAAAATGATCCAAGATGATACCCTAACCTAAGACAAGAACTGATGGCAAGAACAGATGGTTCAAGCAAAACTTACCCAAAGGGAGGTTCTTGTGCCATGTGTTATGGCTGTTTATTAGATCTCCTAAAGGGTGGTGTAGCACTGAGATAAAACAGGCACTCAGTAGACAGAGTACGTGACGTGCAGTCAAATGGATTGATTTGTCTAGTGAATCTAATAAATGGATCTTGTTAATGCTGAGCAGGGAAAAATATTCCTCAGCCCCTATTCATTAGTTCATCCTCATTAAAAGAATGCCTTCTCGCCAGAAAAATCAGAAAGGGCTCCAGTCCTCTCTGCAGAAGACTCTACAATGCATCAATATTGGTTTCTCTCGGTTGGTCTGTTTTCAGACAGCAGCACTGCTGGCAGTTGTATTTCTGACCCCTAATTTAGGTTCTTTACTGTTGCTTATTCTTTGCTCTTCCCTGATTATTATCAATATCCCTGTCTCTTCTACAATGCAAAACTCTTTGTTGCTTTTCAGTCCCTCTTCTACCACCCACTGTTTTTCATCTACATTAATTATACTCTGAGTTTCTGTGTCTGATGGCGCAGGCCACCCTACCATGCCTCAGTCATTGCTCATGCTCCTCTCTGCACCCATTCCACTACTTCTCCTTATACAATGGAATAACTGCAGGGCATCTGGGAGCCTTGTGGGACTGAGCCCCTCCAAACTCATGCTCTTGTCTTGAGAAGTAGAAAAAAAAAATCTTTTTCACTATCCCTGATTACCATGCCTATAATTCACATCAAATATCTGATGCTTATACTCTTTTTTTTTTTTCCCTCTCCTTTCCCTTTTGGTTCACTTGAGAGAGAAGAATGTGTTCATCAAGTACACATCCCATCTCCTCTCACCCTACACCTTCTAGTCACTGACCATGAGATCATTTACTTCATCCTGTTCCATAAACCACTACTGGCTCAAACCGTCTCACCCAGACGTGCCCCAGCCCTTCTTTCTTGCTGTCTGTCTGTTCTCTCAGTATTCCAGCAAGGCACCTACATCCAATTTTGAAAAACTTCCCAGCCCTCCATCTGTACTTCCTACTGGTCCACTTGCCTTCCCTCATGCAATAGCCAGCAGGTAACTTTTGCACTCATTTTCTCTTCTTTTCTGGTTTTCAATCTGATCACTCAGATTTCTACCTTCTCTGCTGAAAACGCCTTTTCTGAGGTCTCATTCAGCCTATCTTGACTGAGTCCTGGGTTCATCATTCTTTCCTCCTCGGCACATTTTCTCCCCTTGGCTTTTGCTGCCTGGTGAGCTTGTGACTCACTAGCTAGCTCTTGGCCGTATCTTAGTATCACCTCTGAATGCTCCTTTTGTCCCTGCTCTGCAGGAGTTTCATGTGCCTGTGTCACTGGATGCCCTCAGCCATCTTACTCCTATACAGGATGATGTGCTGTGATTGTTTATATCAGCAGGTAAAGACCCCTGTCAATTCACACCTGCATTCTTTTGCTATCCATTATTATACAACTCTTCCCAATGTAGAGAGAGGAGCTATGCTCCTTCTGCATAGCTTGAAGGCAAAACCAAAATATTTATCCCTATTTAACCTTCTTTTTTTCATTCCCTACTGTTAGTGAAATATCGTCTCACAGTATGCAAGGATCAGGTACTTTTTATCTATATGTACCATCCATTTGAATAACTGCAATTCTGTTTTATTTGAGGTTATTTAACTGTCTGCTTCTGGTTAGATGACTGATGGAAGTATGGTTATCAGTGGCCTTTACCAGATGAGAATGACCGAAGTTATGAAAAGATATTAGCATAAATCATAGCAAAGGCATCTGAAAGCATAAGAGATTTGAAAATGAAATAAGCCGCTAATTCCCCTGGAGAGTAATTTTAGATAAAAGATCTCTGAAGCTACATTAGGTATTACTTAGTGTCACAAGAAGTTGCTGAAATCCATGAAAAACAGCGGGTCTCTCTGATTCATAAGATACAGGTTCCTCATTTCCCTGAGATGTTTATATACGGATGGCATGGATATGGACAGCCAAACACAAAGAAAAATAGTAATCTGGGACATACACAAAAAGTGTGTGGTTAAGGACACGTTAGCACACATTTGTTACACAGGAACAGTTCACTGCGTGCCTGGGTCACAGTCTGTAAGGTTACCCACCTGTGATATGTATGTGATATTCCTCTTTGAAGATCTTTTGGAAATAAGGTACTTTCAACTGCATGTGTGCAGATGGCAAGCCTGGAAGATTCACTTCAACATCACCCATAAAATGTGGAAACTCCCAGTCCTGTTAAAAAAAATGAAAAGTAAGAGCTTTCACAGTACAGTTTTGCCCTTTAAAATGGCTTAAATTAATAAAAGGAACAGCTTCTATTTTTAAACCTCCCATTATTGGATTTTCTTACTTTAAGTTTGACTGAACCACTTGAAAGAGAACACCTTGTTTGTATTAGATATTACAATATGATTTTTACTTCAGCTCCGTGTAATTATGTGTTTAAAAGTTCACTTCAGAACGACAATACTGAACCCACAGTACCAGCTGATAGAATAAAATAGTCTAAGCATACGAATACCTGTATAGCAACCTTGCAATACTAGTTACAACTTCTGTTACTAATTTGGTGAACAGTTTACAGGTAAGAAATGGACAAAGACGGCCTGACCCTTCCAAACATTTCATATATCTGTATTCTGCTTCCTCAACTTACAGAGTGTTTTCTGTGTTTGGCCTTAATACATCTAAATAAACCCTCCCCGCAAGGGCAGGCCCTTCAGCGTAACCTGCCCGAATCCATCCACGCGGCTGCATTTCAGCTGACGAGGCCACGCTGGAAACGCAGAAGCCCTTACCTATCATTAAGGACGTTTTGGTAGCAGGGGGTAACCCAGCGGAGGAGGAGTTGCGTTTCAGGGAATTTTTCGCTTGGTTATCTGCACCCACCATCAGTCGCTTGAAAATGAGTCGAAGAGCAGGGCTCACTAGAGCCCAAACCGAAAGGCTGGCACTAGCGCTGGAAGGGGAAGGGTTACCGCCGGAGCGGGTGGGCTGTGCGCTGCGGGCTGGGGGTGATCGCCTGTTAAAAGCGCACCGGCCCTCTGCCCATGCACACCCCACCATTTGTATCCCACAGCTTACGGCAACATTACTAAATCACTGAATTACTGAATTACTAGAAGTAAGGTAAAGGAATCCGAAATGTGAGGAGCTCTGCACGTAACTTGTACTTCCTTCACATGAAAAACATTCCAGTGCAGCCATCTCCCCAAGAGAACCAATTCCTTTTTTTTTTTTTCCAGTTTTATAAGGCTGGAAAGTTTCATACCACGGTAATGAAAAAAAATTATTCAAAACTAAGAATCATCTCTGAAAGATAAATCACTATATACAACTCAACCTCCAAGAATTGCTGAGCGCTCCAACGTTTGCTACAGTGGAAGGGAAACAGAAGAGTTTTATCAGCAGGGGATAGCACGGCCCAAACGCTCACAGCAGCTGATCCGTGCTAGCTTTTGCAATATGGATTAACAGGAGTACAAGCAAGGAGAAAACCTGACCCTCTGTACCTGGTTCTGAATGTTCACAGCAATACAGAAAGTGCCAATTCCCAGATGCAGAAGATAAGAGAAATACGGATGCTCTCCTCTTGCCTCGTCACTCACGCAACGCAGGCGCTGCCGGCCACGAGGCACGGCCAGAACTGCCCGGCTGCACCATCCCTCGCTCTGCATCTGCAACCATCCCCTTGCAGGTGGCAGGCGTTCAAAAAGTGCCCAAAGATAGAAGTTTTATGGGTGTACGCTCTCAGTTCACAGTACCGAATATACATCTCTGGACCGGTGTCTCCTGTTAAGTCATACACACTCTCACCCAGGAATAAACAGGAAGAAATGCATTACATATTCCTGAGGATAACCGAACGGAGAGCTGTGGGCTCTGCATTACAAATACGCAAACGCGGGACTATAAATCCGGCCTCCTGCTCTTGCCTTGCCCCAATGCTCCTACTGTGCCTTTTGCTGATTTACAGGTAAAATTCCACCAGAATTTTGTATTGGACTCTGTCTTTGCACCTGAGATTTATAAAAAAGTTCAGCATTTTTTCTGATCTGTATGAATATTACCTGATAATGAGTAACTAGGATGCCAGCTCTGTCAGATGTGCAATTTACTGTATTATTTGTCTCAGCAAACAACTACTGAGACTGGAAAATATTTCATAAAACAAAATCAAAACAGAGAGATCCAAGCCCAACAGTGTGGCACTATTTACATTATAACAGATAGGTGAGTGGAGAGCCCATTAGAAAAACACATATTTGAACTCCAAACTATGGCTACCTTTCACGTGTACATTATTTCACATTTTCTGCATATATAGCCCACAGTATACAAAGCATGCCTGAACTGTACCACGACCCCTGTTACCCTGTAGCCCCTTAACCTGGTACTGCCATTGCTAAAGAGATGGGGACCTCGCAGCTATAAACAATTTACCAGTGCTCAGCTGAAGAAATGCAGATCTGGGGCTGGACAAAACTGCTTTTAGGGGTGACAAGGAGAACAAAGAGGTATCTAACATACATAAAAGACACTGTGTATAGTAAACCTGGCTGTAACGCGGAGCTTCAGATCAGTGAAGGTCTAAAAACGTGTGAGTGAACATAAAAATGCCCCCAAGCAGATCCTAGAATGAGGAAAAAGAAACCACCACGATGAACGCCATATCCTTCCCGGCAAAGGACTCCAGATGCCCCTGGCACCCCGTAAGGCCCCCGGCGACCCCCACCAGACTGAAACTGCCCATTTCAGGACCTGCAGGAGCAGGGGGAGGGTGGACGAAACACCAGGAAAAGCGGTAGAAGCAAAGAAGTGTGTCTATAACAATTTTGACATTATTATTACTACTGAAACTTTTTTCTCCACAGAATATTATATTTTGTAATAATTAGATCTCAACTAATAACGATTCTTGGATTACACTGTTAAAATTTAAATGATACTAATAATAAATTCTTGGCTTTACCTAGGAGGTGTTTCTTCTTTGCCCATAAATAAGGTTTTGAATGTAACCTTTATCAGTATGATTACAAAATCTGTTATTTAAGAATAGTCCCACTGGAAATACAGAAATAAAATAAAGAACCAACAAAATAAACTAAAACACAATAAAATGTATTTCAAAGCAATATTAAAAAAGGGAAACTAAAATAATGAATTAAACCTACTGACTTCCATGAAAGTCACTACAGCCACAGCACTTAGGAACACGAAGCTTCAACTGAGGTGATTAAAATGCCTTCAGGGCTTCATTTGGCTCATAGCTCTGGTAAGTGCGGGCGTTTATTGTCCATGTAGTGACATTATCACCTGCAGACACATAGCTGTAGAGTTATTATTGTGCTGGAGAAGAGCAGATGACTGTTAACTTCTCAGGCTAATGCCAATATCACGTTGTCAAATCCAAACCCAACAAACTGGCCATTTTGCTATGTAGATTCTAAGAAAGTGTTGTCCAAAATCTTTTGACTTTGTTACAATTTTTTTCCTTACTGACAAGCAAAAGACAGCTTAATTTCAGCAATATCCAGAAAACCATTTTCCCAAGAAATTCAAAGTGCCCAGTAGGAATAATCTACCCCAATTGTTAATGGGCATGCTAATAGTGCAAATGCAGAAGCCCATAAATCTAACCGCATCCCTCTCTGGAACACAGCTCAGGTCTGCATCATGCTTTCATACATGGTATTTTCTCTCTGTGGTCTCTGATACCAATCTGTGCTATCGGTCTGTGCTCACCGCTGGGACGTGAGTGACATACGCTATCTTCTTTAAGTTCTCAGCTCATAATCACACAGGGTTCACTTGATCAGCTTTAGTCCTTATTGCTGAGATGCCTGTACTCTACCATATCTGGGATCTCATCAGGAACTGGGCCCCAAATGTTGTACTTAGAATGTATCTCCACTTGCAAAGTTTGAAAAATAACACCATACAACCATAACGTTAGCTCATATTTGTGTCTCTCATACTGCATGAACAGATTGTTTCTTCTTTAAATCCCTCAGCATCAAATTTCTAATATTCATCCACTTCAGTGGTTTCCAACCTGGGGAGCTCTGCAGCATACCTCTACGCAGTTTATGATGAAGAACCCAACCCAGAGCCAGCAGCCTTACATCAGCTGCGCAGAGGTCTCTAACCTCACCCGCAAGTTTTGTGGGATGTGCAAATCAGATCAGCTTCTGGCTTCATTCCACTCTAGTCATGAGGAAAGGGCAGCCAGAGGACGAACTGAAGATCACCGAGGGGTTCATCCTAGTGTTGCAATGGGCAAAGGGAGCCTCTCTGACTTCCATCAGCTACCTCCTTAAACCCAGAGGCACAGAAAAAACTGGATACTGCAAAAAAGGAGATGGTGGCATTCTGATTTTCTTCCCTTTGCTTCTTGTTCCCGACGTCAAACGCATGCATACACTCTCTGCTCCAACGCCAGCTATTGGTTTAATGGTAAACAAATGGGCCACACTTCCATCTCTCCTCCTGTCTGAATGTAGCTCATAGGGTGTTTGGTACACAGTAAATATGAAATAACACTAAAAATAATATAAACACTGTTCAGACATGATCGTGAAAGAAGACAAACACACACTCAATATTTCTGCTTTAAGCAGTGATGATACATGCTATATTTAATGCTAGGAACACATTTGTACTTTAAACCCCTTGGAATAATAAATAAAAATAGAGGGAAGGAACTGATAAAATGCATACATGAATGTGTATATGTGTTCCAGAAACTGCCTATAGCAATTCTTATTTAATTTATTAAAATCTTTTCAACACGAGGTAGAAGATTGTGCATTTTCAGGTATCTTTGCATCTCTTAGCTTTGTTTCAACTCTCAGAACATCGCAGACAGGCAGAGCTAGAGAAAATTTAATGAGAGGCAACGGCTCTACATTTCTGCAAGTGTTTATTATTTCAGATACTTCATCTGAAGTAAGGAATGAACAGCTGGAATTCAGAGGCAAAGGCCCAACTCCTCTGTGGCTATCTCTGACTTCATCGCAGTGCTGCAAGTTGCAGCGATCTCTGCAGCCGAGATCTCTGCAGCTGTGAGCTGCTGGAGTACAAACATCATTTTAATATTTCATTCAAACACACACAGGAAGGGAAGTCAGCAGCCATGACTAGAACTCACTTTCATGACTGTGAGATAAAACCTACAGCTCAGTTTCTGGCCTTCTGTTCTTTGCCAATATCTTATTTAAATAGGAATAAAG